CTTAATAAAAAAGACGAGGCCCAAGGTCTGGGCCCTGTCCGCTCCCATTCAAGGACAGCACTGGCAGTAATCATATCGGGCCGTACCCAAGCAGTACCGTATTTATACATTTTGCTCTTGGGAAAATGGTGGGTTGACGAGGAAAAGAAAAAATGCTTATACTCAGGGACGGATGAAGGGAAGGCCCAGGTCTCCGAGACGTATTATTTCTCTAATTTTTTTTTTATAATTCTATATAGATCCAGATATTACTATATTCCAATCACAGATACGTATAGTTACCCCTACCCTTGTAGATAATATAATATATTATATTATATTGTAATTGTATTTGTGTTGTAAAAAAGTTGTTGCAGATCTTTGTTCTGGATCGGTGCCTGCAGTTATACCGCTAATAGGTAGCGCTGTTGTATGTAGGAAGTTGGTAAGGTAAGATACATATAGTTTGGTGTACAATTTGTATATTTGAGTAACAATAAACCATCGCTAACAAAACATGATTCTGAATGAAGTTCATATTATACGTATATGTTTTAAAATGCCGTAATTTTCACGGTTTTCATTAAAATTTGATCTTAAAATGTATATTAAAATAATACTACTATATTACACTTAACTTTTATTTTTATCACTAACTACAACTTATTATAAACTTCTTATTCAATTTTCAAGTATTAAATTTTACCTCGTCTAGAAAGGGTGAAAATATGTATTTTGTGACAATTTCAACGTTCTACAATAATTTACAACAAAAAAACCAAAATCAAAATTAACGAAACCATTTACCGTAAATTTTCCGATAATTTTGTTTCCGGATTTTCCCAATTAAAGCCCTTAAGAAAATCAAAAAATTACCTCTTTATGCACCAGCATCAACTAGATCCAATACATCCTTTGTGACGTCTTTAGAATGTATGCATGCACCTTGGTTTTGCGGCAGTGGCTGTACTTTAAGAGATCTTTACGTATAATTTGTTTTTTTGGTTTGTTTTACGCGTAATATAGCAACAAATGCATTTCGCACGTCAACAGTCGCATACTCTCTGGTTTCGTTCAAAGCTATTATAAATTTTATAAAGAAGAGTATTTTACTGTGTACTCGAACGAATGTATTTTTTATTTGTTTAAATATTTTCATCAACACACGACACATCAAATTTATTGAGTTCATTTGAACCAATTTCGTGCTATAATAGTTTTTCAATATTAGAACCGATTGATCTATTATCAAAGTATAAAAATGTTATGTGCAGTGCTTCTACGTGGCTTTTCCCTTCGGTATTTTGGTTTTTAAGCTAGATACAAATATTTTTAAATTGAGATATTTCCCATAGGTACTCATCGTATTTCGCTTAAAAACTAATATAGCGAATAAAACTTACACAGATTCGCAGCTATAGATGATGTTCATATACTTTTGAGATTATGAACTGGTCATTAATTCTGTGAATTCTGTGTTTGAGTATTTTTATTTGTTTGGCTTTTTCGTTTTATGTGGATACAATTGTTTCGGCCCAGCAGAAATGCTTGCAAATTTTACGCGAGGTTATCGCGATCGTTATATAAATTATCCTTAGTGTGATTAAAATTGTGAAAAACCCGAGCGTAATATGCAGTGTTTTTTTTTTTTTTTAAATACCTATAAACATTTAAGTTGACGGGAATCGTAATAAACATCGAATGATTTCGAAACATGCTTAATCGACCTCTGCTCAGAATCGGATCGTTTTTTTTTTTTTTTTTACAAACGAAATTTACGCCTCGCGGCTTTTGAATACAATATAGTACAAACAATACAATAAAACGACACAACGCTATATAACAATATAACAATATGACAGTAATAATAATTATAACACGTTTATTATATGTATTCAGATATTGTATGCATAATTTTTTTTTTTTAAATTTAAATATCAGCAATAAAAAAAAATTGCATGGCAAGTTATTCACACTTATTTTTTTCGGTACAAATGTCCCGAGTCTCGAGTCGGTTTTTACGACGTCGAAATTGCGCGAAACGTCCGGTATGAGCGCCGAAATAAACGCGATACGAAACTTTTTCGATATTCGCGGGCTCTGAGCGTTTCGACGTGAAAATATTTATTGCTTTTTAAATTTAATTAACGCCGCGCTATAAAAACGTTTATTCATTCCTAGCGGGTGGCCTACATGTCTATTGCAACATTTCGTTTACCGTATATTATATTGTAATCCCGGGGGCAAATGAATTCTTCATCATTTCCTATGTCCATTTACAAAAAAAAAAAAAAAAAAACTAGAAGAGACCGGTTTAAATAACATCTATATATATATATATAATGTTTTGTTAACGAATTAAAATGTTCGCGACGTGTTATTTTCACAAGTACAATTGACCCGTAAAAATAAGGCGTTTCGCCCAACATCCGTCGGCGCGTATATAGAGGCGTTTAAAAATAATTTTGTTCGCCGACGGTCCGAACTAAAACGTTCGCTCACTAGTCAAACGCATCGGCCGCACGTATTTATTATTATTATTATTATTTTTTTTTTCGAAAACATAATTATTTCGGTAAATAATAGTTTATAATATTATACACGCACAGAAACAATAAACGATATTTTTTCAAACGATGAGGATCTACATTGTTGCTGTTTGTTGGTAACAACCCGAATAAAATATAGTGTATACAAAGAGAAGCCACAAAACGTTTTTCTCCGTTAAAAGAGTTATTGTGTTTCCCGCCAGTTTTCTCTTGCCCGTCTATATTTTAGATTCTGAGTGGAGCGAAAAAGCTTATGGTTTTACAAAAATGTTTATTTATTTATTTTTTCTGTGGACAACTTTTATACTAGAGAAATCTGGCTCTGATTTTTAAATGTAACACGTTTTCTAAAAGGAAATCGGACCGGAGGAGTACTTTATGAAGGTAATTTTTTAATTTTCTCAGGTGTTTTTCTAATAAATGGGTGAAAACCACGAACAAAGTAGGAAAACGGGAAAATTGGTATAATATTAAACAAATATTATTAAAGAAAACATATAATGCCTATGTAATTATTTCTCCATAATATGACACATATATGTATTGTTGACAAAGTAACATTATCAACTGAACTCCGCTCAGCATTTTTGTTAGCAATAGTTTGCATACAGATATACATTAAATTTCCCCTCTATTACCTTCCCAAGTTCTCGCCTACAACAGTGCCACCCACGTAAGAAGTTGTCCGGCTTTTGCTATTCGAATATCGTGAACGATATTTTGGACGCTACAGTTGCTATATCTGTAGAGTCGTAATAACTGCAACCGACGACAATAATTACACAGTCAAACAAACGTTTAAATGGACAAACACACGAGTACGTGAACAAACTTTGTGATTCGGAATAGTATGTTCGGCAAATAATATTGTTTGCCCGATTCGTCGTGTCGTATGAAACACTTTTTTTGATTGGCTCACAGTGGTGGATTTAGTTCTTTGCCAAGAGAGCCTAAGGGGGGGAGGGCGAATATTTTTTTAATATATAATTAGAAAGAAAAAGTATTTGCAGGTAAACAAAATGTCTAGGGGGGCCAAGGTCCCTGTGCCCTCCCCCACTAAACGTCACCTCTCTATTGTATCCGCTCGTATTGTCGCGGCAGATACACTTTGGATTTTCGGTCGTTCTACCAATAAGACGTTAACCCGGGGTAGAATATATTCAACTCACGGCCGTGCTATTATATAGCGGTGGATACGTCTTCAAAGCGTTTTCATACTATATCCAGGGCTGGATTGGGGGCCTGACCATAACCCTAGGTAAATATATTTTTTAATAGTCTGCAGTTAACTAAAATAACCGTTTGGTTTGTCATTGTAATGTATAAAGTAGCAAAACCAAAATAAATAATACGAATTTTAATTTACTATTTTAATTTTTAAACATTTTTTCTATTGCCTCTTGCTGTGTGCTATTATAGTATATAGTAATCTGCACATGAGTAGTCTAAAATATAAATCAACGGTATCTGGTGATTAATTTAATTTTAAAATTTTTAACAATGTTAAAGCGTTCAATCGCTCATTCTAAATAGAGAACCGCGTGTAGTTGTTTTCTTCGGGCGAAACAATACGTGCATTATACTTAGATACATATTACATAGAACTGGATGAACTGTATGTAATTTATCGTAACCACTATCAGGTACCCATAGATTTTTCACGTTTCCATTATACAACATACGTGGTAGGTAAAACTGTAATATTTAAAAAGTTTTAGCACGCTGAATTTTGGGACACCGTGAAAAAAGATGCGTTAATCCGGGGGGGAGGTTGATCTATAAAAGTAACACGGTCTCACAACACTTCGTTCCATTTATTCAAACAAATTCACCTCATGGTAAAATTATTATTGGTTTCATACACGTATCGTTATTCTTAACTAATCCATTCGCAAAATCGATTCCGTATATCAACAATCGAATGAAAATCTTGGAAGATTTAGAATCTATTTTTATACGATACATTTGCGACGATGTATGAACAAATTATGTATTTATTTTTGATTTTAGTGAAAATTTCGTAGATTTCATTCGTTTCATTTGACCGCGTTCATTTCACATTCGTTCGTGTCGTTTTTACAGGACACCTTTAGATTTCTCGTGAAATTCTCATCGGCGATCGGTACACATTTTCATTTACCAAAACATATAAAGAAAATACGGTTTATTATGCATCGTCCCGTTCACAATTATCGCAATTTTCCGTGACAAATAATTCGATTTCACGCGAGTGACGCGGCGCGGCGAGTTGTGAACCGGCCGGCCGCTCAACTACGCGCGGTTAATAAAGACACACACGCATAATATAAAATTACAACATACTTGTATGGTTTTAAAAAAAATGTTTTTGTTTTTATTTATTATATAGAAAGGTAATATATAATATATTATTGTTATTACAAAGCTTAATACACTATAATAATATATTATAATTTTACATATTTTATATCATACGTATACACGTCATGATGCGTATAATATGACGTCTCATAATTAAATAATATGATTTTTTTTTTTTTTTAAAATGTTTTTACTAAAAATAGTAGTATAATAGTGGTATTATAACAGACAGTACACGGTATTAATATTATATTATTATATATTATTATCAAATCGCCACGAGCGGAACAACACACGCGCGCGCGCGCGCGCGAGTCATTTTTTTACCGTACGTGCGTATAGTGCGTATATGTGTGTGTGTGTGTGTGTGTGTGTGTGTATGCGTGTGCGTGTGTGTATTGCACGGCTACTAAAAAAAAAAAAAAAAATAAATAAAAAAAACGAATTATTACACTGGTGCGCGTACCTATATACACACTGCAACAACCACAACAACAACAACAAACAATAATTATATTTGATAATAATATACGTAATAATATGTGTAATACGGTGTACCTACATCGTATAATATTATTATATATAGGAGAGGAAATATTAATAAATAGGTACAATTATGTATAATGTTATTATATCATAGTGAATAAGGGGTGGGCGGTGATGGGGGTTGGGGGGACGTGCAATATTATTATAAGCGTATAAACGGTTATCATAGGTAATAATTGTGTTATTATACATTATATTGTTAGCCGACGCAAAGTTAGAGCGGTTGGAGGGGCGGCAATAATAAGGGGCGGTAATAATAAACGGAAAAAAAAAAAACCATACATTTTCTATAAATACGAACGGCTTATAATAATAATATAATATCATAAGGGCGATGGTAATAGATGACAATATCGGCCGTATTTTACCAGCGGCGGGGAGAGGAAGCAGGGGCGGAGGGCGGGGGGGGGGGGGGGGGGGGGGGGTTGTGATAAAAATCGCACATATAATACATACAAACAGGCGAATTGTAGAAAAAAAAAAAAATAATAATAATAATATCAAAAAAAAAAAAAGTAATAATAATAATTCTCGTAACAATATTATTATAGTACGCTGGAACAAAATAATTATAGTATTATATTGAAGGTATACATCGCGTCATCGTAATATTATAATATTGATAGAAAAAAAAAAAAAATAATAATAAAATAAAAATAAAAAACCACATATATTATGTATTATCGTGTGATTTTATGGCACCGGTTAAACGAAAAGGGGTTTTTTTTTCCATCTTTTCTTTATAGAACAATAATATTATTACAAAACGCGTGCGTGGCGTGTACGTACCGAAACACGCGTGTATATTATAAATTATGTACGGTCACTAATACAGTTATTTATGTACAATAAATAATTACTCATAAAAATGTTAATAATTAGTTGGTTTTTTTTTTTGTTTTTTTTTTTTTAATATTGCGTATAACATAAAAACGAGAAGAAATTACGTGAGTGTGAAAATTTTCAAAAAAAAATTATAAAAAAGGTATTATATTCTGTACTACATTAATATTATGTTATGTTATATGGTACGAGGACGAAAAGTTTTTGTTAAGTATAAAACTACTATCTTGTTTAATTTTTTTTTTTATTTTTATACAATATATTATAATAGTATAGGTATAGTAAACGTAATATAAAAAGACAAAAAAAAAAAAATAAAAATAATAATAATAATATGTATTTAAATAAATAAATAAATAAAAAGGGTGGGTAAGGAATGTGTTTGGGGTGGAGGGAGGGGCGGGGACAGGGGAGGCGACTAAAAAAAAAAAAAAAAAAAAATAAAAAAAAAATCCATTAAGATTCGTCTGGATGACGATTTTTTTTCTTTTTACTTACGTTAAACAATAATATCAATCCGAACGTTTCGCGAGTCCGGTCGGTTCTCCTACTACAATACGCATGAATTCAAGTCTGTTATACAATTATTATTTAATTCTCTCGTACACATCGGTATAAAATATTATATTTCGCCATTATACACGCAAGTATAATACACAATATACGTATACGCAATACACAATATTATTACATTGCACTCGTATTATACAGGCATTATAATCATATCCTTAATATACGACTCATCGTTATTATTATTATTATTATTATTATTATTATTATTACGCGTCGACACGTTTCTATAATATGTTTTCCGCCGACGTCCCGACCGCGGCCGGAACTCGCCGGGTGAAATAAAACGAATATCGTTCCAAACCGACTCGCAAACTAACGGACGGGGGCGGTACAGGTTGTTACTAATATGTAGAATATGTTCGGTTGTTATCCGTGTAAAAGTCCGGCACCGCGTAAAACAGATTGAAAATAGCCATTTACAGTGTACACTGATAATAATAATGTGTGTCCTTCGAACGCGAGCAGAAAGGGAACGCGATCAAAACGTCCAATGATAACTGAAGTTTTCCCGGAGAGATCGAAAAATACGTTTTCTTTCCGTCGCGGCTGCTGCAAGAGGGTTACGGGCGAATCATATATTTTTTTTTTAATGTTAATATGCAATACGTAATTTCGAAAAACGGACGTGTCTCGTTTTTCGGCAATCAGTAGCGATTTGTGTGTACTACGTCCTCTCCTCTCTTCCTCCAGCGTTTACACGTCATCCGCAATAACGTCTGTGTTAGGTACACCTAATAATAATTAATAATAATAACTATTCATATAGGTGCTAAAAAAAAAAAAAATTAAAATTGAATTCGACGTGTCTCTGAATATTATATAAATATATTTTTTTCGTTAGAAATATTAATACTTTACGGCACTTATATAGGGTGTGTTTCGTTTATTCGTATTGGCACGACGTACGCAATGTAGGTACGAAATCGTTTGGTGTTATAATACAAGAATTTAATGCCACTACCGTACACTATTTGAGGTTATAATAATAATACAGGCGGTACTCGTATACAATAAAAATATCCTGTCGTCATTACGCGAGGTTGTGTTTTGAAATAATATTCTCTAAATAAATGTTACGAGACAGACAGAGAAAGAGAGAGAGAGAGAGATAACTCGGGACGTTTTTCACGGATGTTTTCTGTGTCCAAACGGATACCCCGCAGTAGAGTAAGATTTCGCTTATTGCGTGGCCATCGGTAAAAAAAACGGTAAACAATGAATTGGACCGGAGAGTTTGTAATGAAATGTTATATTTTACGTAGGAAATGCTCTCTCGCTGCTGGCGTGACGGTAGGGTAAACCGGGGTAAGAGTCTAAAAGGTAACGGCAAGGTGTGCGGTGTGCGTAATGTCGCGGAGCTTCGTATCGAGGAGAGCGGAAGACACGCAACGGATATTTACCGACGAAATTCCCGGGAACCGTTGACCAGATACAAATATTGTAATGAAACGGTGTTCGTCCCGATACCGGTCGAACGATGAACATTACCATCGGGTAACGCCTTCGTGTTCGCGCCTCTCCTCCCACCCCCCTTTCGGAAATCGATATGAAAAATATTCTAATATCGCGTCGTCCGTATACACGCGTCGTACGCGTATACCGCATCCCGACAAAATAATAATTAGGATATTCACGTCACGGCGACGACCGCGATAACATTATTGTAACGGATATAATTTTCTCTAGAGACATACAAATTTTTTGTGTAGATAATAATATTCTCTCGGTTCACAAGGCCCGTCGATATTCGCCATCAAATTCCCGTCACGTAAACGTGTAAAGCTCCGGTCGGCCCCGCCCTTCCCCCCCCTCCCATCACGGGTGGGATGAATAGTTACGAGATAATAAGTATAGGGTGTACCTTTAGCTATATTTTCGGGCGAACGACATAAATATATTATTTACCTAAACAAACACCGCCATCGGAATAAAACACGCGACAATATTTCCATGCGTGTCGGAATGTCAGAAAATTGTCGCGCTCCCTTCTCCGTCGAATACCTACGACTCGCCTAGTCGTTCTGCGGGCGTGTTGCGTCCGGTAAAAAGTACGACACGGCGTACCTACCCGTGAGACTATTGTTTTTTTTTTTGGGTTCGTAAATGTTATTTAATCCGCGTGTGTGTGTTACTATGATAAATTTGCCAGCCACCTTATTATGATAGAGATCCTGAGATTTTCCGCAGACACGATTCGGACGGATAATAGTATCGAAAATAACATCCTTTATACACGGAAAAACAGAGAGCCTGGCCAATAGAGGTCAACCCGCTAAACGTTTTCTGTTGGTCGGCTGTTGTCACTGATCGCGGACGCCACGTCATCGTCTAAATATTATCTATATAATGGCGGTGCAGATTTAAGTTTGAAATATGTAAATAACGTCACAAATGAGAATGTACAAATTAAAGGTGATTAATAGGGCGTGGATACTTAATTCCGTAAAATCATTCAGAATAATATTGTACCTATGATATCCGTGTACGGCCGAAAAATGGCGAAATTCCCTTACTATCTATTTATGTACTCTACGGGAGAGTATTGAAAAAAGTAGAAATTAACGGACCGGACGTATTCCTGTACAGTAGATAATTGACACGGCGGGGTCATCGCATTAGTTGATTTTAAAAAGGAGATAAAATGTATTATAATATATAGGGGAAGAGCGCGCGATCGTTGGAATTATACGCGACAAGAAACTGTGATGGGTCGAGGGTACGATTTCCGCGACGAAATCTAAAGGGAAGACAAGTGAGAACATGTCCCCCATGTTCTCATAGCGGAGAATTTCTGCAAACTAAACGCAAAATTGATTGCAGGCAGCAAGAAGATACTAGATAAGGTCAGAGGGTTGCTGAACAATATCCGTCGGAGAAGAAATCCGATAAATTCATTGAATTATAGGTATTTATAAAATACACGTTACGTTTAAATAATATTAAACAGCGTATAGAAACATTCGCGACGCGAATAGTAATAAGAATAGAAAAAAAAAAATTTAATAATAATATTAAAAAAATCAAATCGTTTAAAAAAATCCCACGAGGCTTTCGAGTTTTGTTATTATTTTATACGTTTTAAAAGTACTTATATATTATTATATTATTATCATTATTGTGCATAGCCATAAGCCGGACATGATAACACCGCGTCTACGGCATAGGCGCAACTAGGGGAGAGGGGGCTTGAGTATTTTTTTCAGAAGCTACACGTGTTTACGAAATCGCCACTTGAAATCGGTCGAAAAGTAAAACAAAAATAAGGCCAAGTTGCTTGGCGGTGAATTAAAATATGGGTTATTTGGGAGGGGGGAAGGGTAACTGTTATAACTACCCTCCTTCCGCTCCCAACCAAAATTAGGACCTAGTTGTACGTATAGACGTGCCACCGTCGTCGGTCTTAGCCCGCTGCACCTATGTATTATATTTATTATTTATTATGTACGAAAGTTGTCATAGCTGTCATAGATTTTCGTATCGATGCACGGCGCGCGTACCGAACGAAATCGAGAGTTTCTAATACTTTACGATCGGCTGGTTTTCGAGGTGACCGATCGTCCGGTTATCATACATAATATTAGGATTCGCACTTGGTTTTTTTTTTTTTTTTTTTCAGGAAATGGAATTTAAGTGGGCAAATCTTTTATTCGATGCGCTATGAAAAAAAAAAAAAAAATGAAATTGTTTAAACTATATGTTTAAACAGTTTAAAAAACGAGNGGGCAAATCTTTTATTCGATGCGCTATGAAAAAAAAAAAAAAAAAAAATAAATGAAATTGTTTAAACTATATGTTTAAACAGTTTAAAAAACGAGGTTTTTTTTTTGTTTGATTTTATTGTATTTGTAAAACTGTCGTTCTTGTTCATTGAAAACTATTAAGTTGAGCCGGGTAGTTTTTGTTTCGATTTTTTCAGCTTTCTGCAATATTAAGCCCAACCCGATCATAAACAATAACATAATACGTATAACGGGCTCGCGAGGACGACGGCACTTTTGCGGGGAAAATGTGACGGAATCGCTAATTTTCCGAGGGTAATAATAATAATAATAATAATAATGAAAATAATTTTGTCATTTTCGTTTTGTTCGGTTGTGTCTGCACGATGGTTTTGCAGCGTGTACAAAATAACAACAGTAATAATAATAATAATAATAATAATAGTAACAATAAACAAATAAATATTATTATTATTTAGTCTTGAACCGGCGATTGGAGGGCTTCGAGACGGTGCCTGTTACGCCGTTTGTGTCTGAACCGAATTCGGTTGTGCCTGGCTGGCAGTGGCGTAGGAGGCGACGATGATGGTGGTGGTGGTGGTGGTGGTGGTGTGGTCGTGGTGGTGGTGGTGGTGGTGGTTGTGGTGGTGGTGGTCGTCGTGGTGGTGGTGGTGGTGGTCGTTGTCGTGGCCGTCGAGGCCGCGGCGGTAAACGATTTTCTGTTACCGCCGCCCGGTCTCTTAGCTGTGCCGTTACGTTTTCCGCCGCTGCCGACGACGACAATGCTCTTGCCGGACGAAGCCGCCACCTTGCGGTTGTGGTCGCCGATGTCAAACTTGGTGTCCAACTTGAGAAAGTTGAGGCACCGGTTCAGCGGCTCCGTGTGGAACACGTGCCGCCGCATCGGGCGTCCCCTCCGGTTGAAACCAATGTACCGCGACTGATCGACCACCGACTTGTACCGTGTGTAACCGGTGGACAACATTTCCTCGTAGAACAGACACTTCGGGCCCCGGAAGTGTTTCTGAAAGAATAAAAAAAAAAAAAAAAAAAAAAAAAAAACACAGTACAGGTGATTAAAATGTTTTTGATTTCTATCATTTTAGGTAATTTTATTTGTATATTTTATATTTTCAGTACGTATAATACTGTGCACGAGTACGAAAATATATAAAAATCGGCCGGGTGTCAATGGACGGTTTTTGAGATAAAAGACTCAAAGACAGTAGTTGCAACAGAGAGATTATACACACAGAAGATAAATTGTTGTATAAATCGAAAATAACCGACATTTCTCTCATGTATCCAAATAATCATCGGATGATTCTGACACCGTCATCTAAAGACAATTATTATTTATTCTTGTTCCAATACAATAATGAACCGTTATTCTTTTAGTTTCAATAAATTACGCGTAGATTTCATCCGTTATAAAAAAAAAAAAAAAAATACGGAAAAACATTTTTGTTTTTATGCTAATATATTTAATATTTTAAGGTCATTCGAAACGGAACAGTTTGTGCCCCTGATAGATGTAGTGAATCGATAAGAGTTCTGAAAACAAATTTGAATTCAGTGTGAAGCGTTCACGACTACTCGTTGTTTCGATTTAATTTAATTATTTTTTATATTTTGCGTTTGGATATTAAAGATTGTGATTTCAAAAAAAATTGTATGGCATTATACTTAACGTTGAATTTACCTCTCGTCGCTTAATATTATATCGATTGGCCCATTGTATAGGATATTACGTGTTAGACAAAGATAGATGACGAAATACCCGTTCCGTTTCGAATCCCCTCGTGGGCACATTTTGATCGTTTTTAAGAAGGCATGGACTCACGCGTAATTCACGGGTTTTAGGGTACATCAGAAGCGTATATAATTCGCCGCCTTAACAACGATAAGTCGATGACTGACTGTTGAAATGTTCCGCCTTGACTGTTGTACACGACCGAATTGTATTAAATATTTAAATATCGGATTATAAAAACCGCATTTTATTATTGTTATAAGACGTGTTGAAAACAAAGTACCCGTTTACGCGCGTGCAGCAGGTGTCAAACGTGCATTTATCTACAATGAAATAATAATGAGGTAATTAAAGAAATAACGTCGTCGTCGTGTACTCGTAACATTACACAATACGAATTTATATACATTTTTTTCTATTTTTTTTTTTTTTGTATTGTTTTTAATTTGTTTACCAACCGAATAGGCCGTGAAAAGATTATATTACGAAACACAACAACAATAATAATAATAATAATATTTTAAATGCAGTTGTGCCGTAAGCATATATAGGTGTACGCGCGCATATTATAAAAGCGAGTGTTGACATTTAATAATAAGACGTTCGAGTGTAAAATGCACCGTGTTCCTTATAATATTCTCGAACACATTCTTTTTGGTCTATTTGCTCAGCACACACGTATACGAGATAAAGAAGGAGAGAAAAAAACATAAATACCATTCGAGTGTGCACCGCGCTCGATTGTGAAATTCATCTCGTACGTTATATTATACACCCACTGGCGTGTCTAATACTGCCGCCAGTGAGACAACGCGCGCTGAAACAATGTGATACGAGGCCGCTATCGGTTTATTGTGCATCGTAAAAAAAGAAAAAAAAAAAGAATAATATATGAGAAAGTGAGAAAACACGAAGAAAAAAAAAGAAAGAATCCGTATTGCCTATGCGTGTGCGTGTATAGCGCACACGGAGGGTGAAACGCTCGCGCGACCGGGTGAAGCCACCGAGGAGGACCTCGTTATATTCGGCTCGCGTAGCAGTATAATATTATAACAGTATGTAGCTAGGTATATTGTTTATTTTTTCGTGTACACAAAATACGTACAGAGGTACACGAAAATACCGAACGCATAACATATAGACACTTACCGAACCGACGAGGGACCATTTGTTGTTGAAACATATATACCGATGCGACTCCTCGGCGTAAATCGACAGTCGAATACTAAAGTCCAAGGGTCTGACCGTCAGATTTTCTGTAAACAAAATAAAAACAAACGTGTGAATTAAAAAAAAAAAAAAAGAAAAAAAAAAAAAAGACAATCGCGTTATACGTTCTCTTTATACGTAACAATGCGGCGTGCGGATATTTTACGAGACACAAAAAGGTTTCCAAAACGCGTCGAAACGTTAAAATGACAAAATGATCGTACGTGTGTGCCCGAAACGCGAACTACCGTCCGTACGGAACTTTTGTTCTTCTACGCCACTGCAGGTAGCGCTTCATTATCCTACGACTTTTTTTTTTTGAATATTGTCTTTTAAAGGGACAGTGATTTCTGCACAGCTCGCAATAACAGTGTACAATAATTATTAACTATTCATATACATGTGTATATACTTCGTAACTGTTTATAATTCCCCGTCCGCCTACAATTAGTAATTCCCTGTAACTCCCCAATAGTTCTATAACTTTGGTTTTTTACGATACTCATCTTTTATTCTTTGTGAGTGACGTACAGCTGACTCTATTACACGCATATACGTCTGAAAATGTATACATATACGGAATTCGAACATGTCAACACCGTTATCGTGTATTTAAACCAATAATTTTCAATATAGGTTCTCGTTTGCGAAACCAAAGTCGGTATCGCCACGGGACACGATTATCCGTCAAACGTTGCGAAAAATCTAAACACTCGAAAATATTGTCAGCTTTGACTCTATAGGCGCTTGAAAATTCCGAAAATCACGATTAACTCAACGTACGCGAAATTTAACCGCCGGGACGACGAGCGCGCTTACGACGAATCACTCTGTACGCATATTATAATACCGATTCGGTGGATCCGACTAGACGCGTTTCGGTATCACACGATAGCGGCCCGTGTAAACGTTCTTCTCGTATTGTAATACAGGTATAATACAAATAACAATTATTATTATTATTATTATTGTCAAATATAATAGGAACCAGTACTTCGGATTTCCAGTCACGACCGTGGAATGGAATGCACGGGCGTTTCGTGTAATATTATTAACCGATTTTTAAATAATAATAAATACAAAAAACAAACACGCGCGCACGTAAATTATATTATTACGTACTGCCGCTGCTGCTGCGAACGTCCGTTTGTTTATCCCGCGCGTTGCAGAGACCGACGACGACACGCAACGTTAACAACGGTTTTCCATTAAAAAAAAAAAAAAAAAAAAAAAAAAATAGAAAATAATAATAACGAAAAATTCACCCGTGATGAATTTACTAATATATACCGCCGACCTCTTAGTATATTATTACTGTTGTAGGCCGCGTACACAAGTTGTCGTCGACGTCGTTGATAATAATATATTAAACGTAATAATATTAATTTCCCACACTTTCGGGCTGCACCGCATAGCGGTCGAGGGCGACTAAGTGAAATCCGTCCAAGAATAAAATTCGTGTGTATGTATGGTATATATATATATATATACATATATAATATTTGGTCCCAGAAAAAAAGGGCTTGGCGAATTTTCGGAATTTTCGATTTTGAACTTTGCGACGAACGTATTGGTTTTAGCGTGTGATGTGTGCAATTTTTTCATTTCATTTCTGCTTGTATGTAAACGACCTTTTTTTGTTTTTTTACCGGAAATCCAAAATTATGGTATAGTGATTTTTCGAAAAAAAACGGTTGGCAACAGAAAAGTATCCTATCAAGCCCCTTATCGATTTTCTGACAACTAGCAATATCTCGATATCCGTTAAGATTAATAGGTGCTCACATAATATCACGAACTAGTGACTGAGATGAGAATACGCAAAAGTGTTCTTCACTTTAGGAAAAACATAGGTTTAAAAAAATAACGGTTTACTATTACAAACGTGAAATCCAAGAATTTTAATTATAAATGATTACTTAATAAATAATTAATAGTTTGCCATTATTTATACATTTGAAATACAGAATATATCATGCGGAAAGAACTCGGCATGATGCGCCAAAAGACAATCGATATTAATACGTTTGATTAAAAAAAAAAAAAAAAAAAAACTATATATTGCGAGTATATAAGGTTACAATCAGATACGCTTTTTATTTTATGCCGTATACTTAAGTATAATATTATCAAAGGTTTACGCGGCGGGTATAGAAAGCGTAATATTTTCTCGTCGCGGAGGACGTTATGTATATTTCGTGATAAATTGTTTTTCCGGATTTCCTGTCGCGTCGACGGCGGTCCGGAAACTTTACGACACGCTACAGCGTCAGCCGGTTATATTTATGTAGAAGCGTAACGCGAAGAATCCCCTACGGGGCGATTTGAATTAAGTTAACAAATCATTATTTTACATCCGTTATGATTGGAATCGTCGTGCTATTTAAATGCATTATTATATTATATATTGCACGGATTCAGCGAATCGGATATGGGAATCGGAACAATCGTCCCAGTTGACGGAAAAACAATTCCCGAGCGGACCTACTGAATATTCGCAGACTTTGCAGGGAACGTTATCTGTAGTCGATACGCGAATAATTCGCAATAACCATTATTGTTTAGCCGCACGCAGACATAACATAATGCGACTACTGAACTACTGAAGATGACTTTCGACTCGGAACGCGTTTACGTTTGCTAGCAATATTATCAGGGCGGGACACATACAGATTAGTCTATGAGGTGACATTGCGATAAATCACCCGTACAGATATCTGATACAGTGATATATGTATATAGAAATACCTATTATAATCTTTTGTGCATGATCTATGGCACTAACGATTCGTCATCGACCATCGTATACGTTCTTATATATATACACACACACACACACACACAAAATAGAATTTGCTATAATACATAAATATATATCTGTGTATAGGTAGTCCCGTTATAAAAAAAAAGAACACACAATTTACACCCCTCTTCCCCATCTCTATCACAGTTAACCGCCGTTGCCCAATTAAATCAACCATAATAATAACTGTTTTTACCCGTGTCGCCAAGATAACCCGCATCAATAATAATAATAATAATAATAAAAAAAAAAAAACGGCAGTTTTCGTTTTAAAAACACCGAAAAACCCGTGACAGATATTCTTTAGGGGTTGAGTTTCAGAAATCCTGGTGCACTCAAACCCGTTCATCCGCTTCTGTATGCACATTTCTAGACCCCTGCAGCGTGCTGTATAGGTTCGGCTGTGCATAACACGCAGACCAACACTTCCTCCGAAGTATTGATATCATAATGTAAAAGTCAATTATTTAGTGTAGACAGAGGATAATATTGTTATGATTATAAATCGTTTAAAACGCGATAAACGCTGCAATACGCTACACGATAGTCCGTTAACCTCCGAGGCTATACCTGTTGCACGACCGTTATGAAACGGCACACGTAAAACACCGCGCAGTTTGTCGCTCAACGTCGTCGTCGATAAAACATAATATCGTATACTTTGTGGTAAGTATAACCACCCTTGTTAAACGGCCCTTGTACCAAATAAGTATACGCCCGTAAAACCGACGTATCTGTAGTGAGACTATGTAGCTAAATAAAATAGAGCTGATCACGCATTACATTCATTAGAGACAGCCCCCGTGTTTACTGAAACACACGCATATTTATAATTCGAACATCGCCTATTTATCGCGTGTGAAAAATTTTGATTTAGTTTCAGACCAATAGAAAAGTGTTACCGAGTTCGCCACTATATTATAGGTGGCTATATAATATAGGCGACTCTCTATACATAGAAAGACCATTCTCGATAAACGCACCGATAAACATAGGTATATAATGATAAATAGATCGGGAATGACGTCCGTTTTACATATGTAATACACCGAGAGTGACGTTATTATGGGATAATACAAACATATAAAAAAACCAATTTAAAAAATCCGTGTCGTCAAACGAACTGAGAATAATAATGGAACACGTTAATAAAAATAATTTCTCGCGTAGGTATACACCGTTATACGGTCGAAATTGAATGAGAGTAGGTATAATAACAAATGATAATAACAACGTATATGTAAACGTTGCTCAAGCATAGTAGATGGCTACCGAGCGTCCATTATACTATTGATAGGATCGCAGTTGGCCGCCTAGTTATTGTATACGCGTATCCGTGAATAATGAATATATATTATAAATCAGGGACGTACGCACTGGATGGTTTTGAGGGTGTTTTTTTTTTTTTTTTTTTTAAATCAATTACTGAAAATCATAGAACTTTTTGCCTATTAAACGTACGGAAGGTTGCGTTAGCTTTGGTTAAACCTAACATTTCGAGAGAGAGCGTTTGAACACCCAGAACGCCCTGATGTACATATATACGAGTATATTATACGAGATGTCTTTAGAACACAAGGGGTGTTTAAATAAATTAAAATTTAAAGTTTAAAGTTACTTGTATTAAATATAATTATTACGGTATATTATCGTTTTATCACAATTCTTGTATTCGAATGATGCAAATTTTTTTTTTTTTAGAAAGTCGGCAGTGAAGAGACATAAGCGTATTAACAGCTGTTGTGAACGCTCGTACCTTCTAATCCATTATGGGCGTTATCGTTTTAAGACTGTTTTAGTGCGATCTGGCATTCGATACCAGCACACGGTGGACAATTCACTTGTGTTACTTTACCGCGAAACGAAATGGAAAACTATTAGTCCGGCTGTGCACTCGGCTCGGATTTTTTTTAAAACGATCGAATTTACGTTCGTACACGGGAGTATACGGCGTCTTCGACCACGACGAATGGCTTGTGTTGTTTTATGCGTACTGTCGAAACGGAGGCGGCGGCGGCGGCGGCGGCGGCCGCGCGTCGTGGTGTCGGCTCGCTTATCGCCGACGGGCCGCACTGCACTCCGGTATAAATAACACCGTGTAAACACGGGGATAACGGCGCGCGCGCGTGTCGATTGGAAAACACGAAACCAAATAACGTTACACGGCGACGCGTATTGTTCGTGTGCGTCGTTTGTGTTTGGTGGCGGAATCCATTGATATTCAACGGACGCGCAATGATATTATAAACTGCGCGGCGGCGACGACGACGATAGTGATAATAACGATAATAACGATAATGATGATAATACTATTCGTGCGAACGTGTGATACGGTCGATTACCGTTTGGCCGGTTAAAATACACGGTGCGGCGATGTTGATGCCGCCGCCGCCGCCGTCATTCGTTTAAATGTCTTTCCCCTCTCGCCGCCGCTCCGCTCCGCCGAATCCGTACGGCGCACGGGCACGGGCTGCAGGTATTGGTCCGGGTGAGCCGGGCGCCGCGATTCACACGATCGCGCTACGTGCAGGCGCGTTCGCAGACTCCGCTGGAACGTCGCAACGGGAACGCCGCGGATGACGACTTCGTCTACGGGAGGGGAAAAAACGAAAATCGGGTTTTTTTTTTGTGTTTTTTTTTTCGAGGCGCTGGTCTCGCGACCAAAACGGGACGGCCGATCGAATATGTTGAACGCCGATCGACAATAAATTCAGAGATCAGAGGCGCCTTTAGTTTTGTATACTGTTACACAATTAATACACTTACTCGGGCACATAATATAGTCTATATTATGTAGTCAATATAGTCGAATAAAGTGTTTGTTGTTGTTTATTATTACAAATAATTTATTTGTAGGGCGTCCATAAAAACCCATGTTTCGATTGGACGGGTCCTAGTTTTTTTGTTTTCGTTTCGCCTCGGCTATGACAATTAGTATTCAGCACGCCACTGCCTTCGACCGTACCGGTCCAATGAATCACGGCTATATTGTGTCACGGTCGTCGTCGGGCGGCGCGCCACTATTAAATCTTAAAACGCGTGACGGCTGAAAATATAGCCATGCCGACAAAGCTGAGCAGTAACTGTGTACAGTTACAAAGTTACGAAAATCAGTAACTTTATCTAACTCGCATTTGGTTTTCTTGTAACTTGCAATTTAACGAGTTACTTTTTATTTGAGTCAAAAAGGTTACAGGTTAGTGTTCATCGTTTTGTCACCGCGATATCTCGAAACTCGGAGTTTTTATTTTCCCGAAGATATCGGCGTGTACTTACCATGACGGACAAAATAGAAATATATATATTTTTACCAAAGTCCAAAGTGTATCGATTTTTACGTAATACAACGTGATAACATTTTGATAACGTCCGAAAATTCTAGGAGTGAATATAATTGAAAAAATTATTAGGTTTTTTGCACGCAGCATTTTCGAGTGCACCTTATGGGTCTTACGTTGGTAATAATGTTTCGTTGTTATCTCCTATTGTCATTTCGTCGTATCCACGCGCGTGGATATAAATCAAATAACTTTCTGTACGCGAATTCTCCTTTATACAACAGTAACACCTGTGGCGCATTTGGCTTAGTTTTATGGGGGGAGGGCGACACTAAAATTATCATACACTAGATATTTACACTAACTTAAATTTTATCCTATTTATCTTACCGTGAAGTGTTTTAAGTTTTGTGTCTGATGACACTTTTCTGGCAATAGTAAATTGTTGTATATATATAGCAAACACCTAAACAAATTAATTGATGGTGGGCGATCGCCCACCTCCCCCTCAAATAAGCCACTGAGTGACATACCCGTCAGCTCTGTTAATAAAAGCTTTACAGCGTAGTCTAACGCCGTTTAGGTACAGCCGGCAGCCGTTAGCTAACACTCAGGACCCACGAAATTGTCTTCAAAAATATTTCGGGTCCATTAAATATCGCAGTTCCGGCAGATGGTGTACCGGAAATCCACTATAATGTGTATCTAATATTAAATAATATAATAATGAAGTCGGTACTTACGAAATGCGTCCGATGTTTCTTGGTCCGCGAGGACTCGTCCTCGGTAGTCGACCCTGACATTTCGACTGCTACAATCGTTGTACAGCCGGACCCCGAATCCATAGCCAGGGCCGCACCTCCAAATGTTGCACAACACCACCTAAACACACAAAAAACAAACATGAGTTTCGTTGATAAACATGTGCACGATATGGACACAACGGTTTTAACGGAATTTATCGTTCCCGTCCGATTCAGAGATTGTTAACGGCCAACAAGAAAATCTTGTTTATATTACCAGTGGAGTTTTTTTCGTCTCCAATGAATTATAATGTTACGTACCGATTCGTATACGAGAATTTCACGAGCAATATCATTCGACCGGGTCCCGATTATTCGTTGTTATATTGGAGATAATTTATATTATCCTAAAATCGAATCGATAAAACGTTGCAACGGTTATTTCAGAGACAACACATACTGAAAAATATCGCTAAGCGTAGAAATATCGTTTGAGATTTGAGGGGGGAGGAGTTGAAGTCCTGATTACAGACCAGAACTGGAGTTTAAACAGAAGTATTCACCCCTGGAAAATGTTTACTCGCTACGCTCGGTTCCAAATCATAACATACTATTTCTAATTACAATCAGTGACGTAACTATGATTCCTAATATCCATGGCAAAGTATTCTATAGATTAACTAAATTAAGGGTCAAGTGCATAATCCGATTCGGGGGAAAATTCGCATTGATTGGAGCAAAATAAAATAAAATCATTCCCTATTTTCATACCCCTTTCCGTTCATTGATATTACTTAGTTAGCAAAAAAAAGATCATCGCATTTTTTTGTTTGTATTCCCCTATAATGCCTTTGGCCCTGATTTCGGGTACCTGGATGTCATGGGACCCCGGCTAATTGCCCGTCACGCCAACCTATCGATACGCCACTGATCACAGTACAATTCATTACACTTTACAAATGCGCTATTTCAACTATAAAAGTAAATATCCATAACAATTACAGGTACGGTCAAAAATGTTATGTCCAAAATACATTACACGCGCATAAATACTTCGGCGTTATTATTCGAAACAGAAGGCGGGGAACTATTGACATTTTTTCAGGGAGCTAAGCGCCCAAAGCCGGGTGAACCGCGGGTGTACAGCAGTTACACTCGTATTATAGTTTCCTCGTCCGTTTCATAAAACACCCCGTAGTCTGTACACGCAATATAATGATAATACAATAATATGCATAATAACAATATATTCTGTATTACGTGTATTATTAAAACAGGCGCGCGCGTTGCACACCTCGTTAAAATGGGTGTACCGATATTAAAAAAAAAACCTCCGTTTTGTCGAAAACCGAATACGACCTATAGTACCTGCAGTACGTGTATTATATACCTGTACGTAATACTCGTTATAGTCGTTATAATAATAATAATAATAATATTATATACGTGTTTTTTTCTTCTTACTCTTGAGGTCGGACGGGTTAATTACTACGTGTGCGCGCGGTGTACACCGTACACCGTTCTCCGCCGTGACCCGCGTGCTCTCACGGAGTGAACATTTTTTTCGGTCCGACAAACGGACGGACACCTCCCCGGCGAGCGAACGAACGAGCGCGCGCGGCGCGCGCGAGCGCTCGAACGATAAACGGCCGCGGCGGCGACAAAGAGACGGCGGCGGCGGCGGCGGCGCGGCGGGTGTGATATACGATCCGGTCGGCTGGACGCAGGCCCCGGGAAGGCGTTTCGAAAATTTTCTCGTAATTAAAACAACGGATTTTCACTTAATAATAATAATAATAATAATAAAAAATAATAATAATAAACCTCGATTTAAATTGGGTATGGCTCGTGTATATAATAATATAATATTAATACGGCGTGCACGCGGCGTATTTTTCGCTTCTTATACTACTCTATATAATAATAATATAATGCGTACATACGTTATACTCTTATAATATCGGTTTTTTTTTTTAAATGTTTTTTCGTCGTTCGCATTAGCCGCGGCGGCGGCGTAATAATTACTTTTCAACGCGGCACCGGTCGTCTATAATAATAATAATAATAATAATAATAATAATAACAATAATAATAAACCGGAGTTTTTTTTTTTTTTTTTTAACGCACGTATACGAAATACTTATAATATTATCACACGTTACCCGGATATTCCGATAAGTATAATATAATTTTTTATCGTATACGATATACGCGTGATTGAATGTACCTATATATACATACGTGTTATTATCGTTTTATCGTATAGCGTGTCTATATATGTACGGGGGCGCGTGCGTCAGTGGCGTCGTCGTTTCGACTAGGTCTTGGATGTTGCGCGGGGGACGGACGGTTTTTGTTTTAAACCGTATAGAACCGTGGGGTGCTACGAGATCAATAGCTCTGACTTGGTTTTAGAGGTTTTAGAACAAAAAACGAATCACAAGCGTGTGTGTGTGTGTATATATATAGCACTACCGTACGAACAAAACAAGATAATTGTGCATTGGTTGATGGAATATTAGATATATAAACAACAAGCGAATAATACAATTTGTTTAGTGTTTGTTTTCGCCGCTCTGTTGAAAAATCTCGGGTACGCCGCTGGTTCCGACAATAGAACAAATCAGCTGTACCGGGTGATTGATTTAAGTGGATACAATCATTATCTCGGAAAGTGTTAATTTTTTTTCGGAATTTGTTTTCTAGAACATTCAAGAAATAAGCTGCTCTACAATTTTATGTTTATGTACATTTTTGTCACCTTTATTTTCGGGGGTAAAACCGCTGCCTACTTTTGATTTTCAAATGGTAACCTATATTGAAAAGTCCATAAATAGAAAGAGTATTGTTTAAAATAAATTTTGGTGTTGAAAATTTTTGATTTCTGTATAGTCGTTTACGAGACGTTCTACTTTCAATTTTAAATTGGAGGAGAGAAGTGGTGAATCGATAACACGCCGCGTGCCGTACCGCCACATAAATGATACTCCACTACGCTCCTCCAACCCAAACTTAAAAACGGAATATCTCGTCAACGGATTGACGGAAATCAAAAACGTTTTCAAAAATTAAAATTTATTTTAACTAATATTCCATCTATTTATAGACTTTTAAATTGCCGTTTAAAAATCATAAGTAGGTAGTGGTTTTATCCCCAAAAATAAGGGTGACAAACAATAATATACATATAAAATTGTAGAGCTGCTTGTTTCTTGAACGTTGTGGAAAAAAAATTCCGAAAAAACGAATACCTTCGGAGATAATGAGTGTACCCATTTAAGTGAATCGCCTGGCACATTTATGTATAATATGATATGATGCGGATAACGGATACAGAATGATAAAATTGTTTGCACTTTCGGCTAATGGCGCGTCGGCATTAACTGTGTGAAATGATCACAATTGACTATCTACAGGTATAGTGTAACGAACGGACGGGAATGGGACGGACCTAGAGATCGATAAAATCCAAATAAAGCTCTACGCACCAGTCGCCGCCTACCCGTTGGCACTTGTATATTTTTCAGATTTATCGTTTCGTACCTAACCTAACCTAACCGATTGGTTGTTTTCTATATATATATATATATATTATTAATTCGTTATGGATACGTACATGTTATAATCGATAATACAATCAACACCGTATTATATAGTACACAGACGATGATGATATCATTGTGTGAGTATTGTTATTATAATATATCGTACTGCCCCCTCCCCGACGGGAGGTCGTGAGCGTTATTGAAATAGTACAATGCGCATTATACCGTGCGGTGCAATACGATAATTATACGGTCGGACAGTGTTTAAATATTTGTTTGTTTTTTATTATTTTTAATTATTTTTTTTTTTTTTTTAACGATGCGGACGAACGAACGTACAGTCTCCCGAGGTAGAGAAATAATGCACTCGCGATGAAATTTTATAACCAACGTTACGTTATAATAATATATAACTCAATATGCGAGACAATTTATGTAGGCACCTAATAATACGCCTATACCCATATCTATAATACGGCGAGTTTTCGATTTGATTTTTCTCCTTCCACCCTAACCTAACCGAAAATCGTATTAATCCTTTCGCTTATTAAGGTCCGTGTAATATATTACGCGCACGAACAGTCGCCCGTAAACTGCAGAACCGGCAAAGTTCAATTATCATTCCTGTTTACCTATAATATAATGATAACATGTGCGCCCTAGATACTGAATATTTGTTGTCGAGTTAAAAAACATATAATATTCAACGACCTATACTCGATATTTTGTGTTCGGTATAATATTATAATATTATGCGACCTATATTTTCCCATTGCAGTTTTAAGAGTGTTTTTTTTTTTTTTTTAATATTCTAATGTCGAATAAACGCTGATATTCGATTGTGATATTATGCCGATGGGCAACCTATGCGGAACGGATATTATCATTATTTAGAACAGCCGATTCGATCGATAGACGATAGCAGCGGTGATATAGTTACTATCATTGCCAAAAATTGTAGAGCGGGGCTTGAGGACTTGCTCTAAGCCCATTCAAAACGTATAAACAGAGAGGTTAGTCCTCTTCAAGTTACTAATTACTAATTTGAGGGGGCTAATTTCTTGTTTATACGTTTTTAGCAGGTTTTCACCCCTAAGCCCGTCTCACAATTTCCGTCAATGGCCACTATATCGATCAGTAAGTGTTGTGCACCGCAGTCAAGTTAAAAATGTCGATGTATGTTTGAATTATTTTAACGTTTTAAAATTATTTTTAGGTAAATGAATTAGTGGGTGAAAAAAACACTCAATTATTATTTTGTTAAAAATAGGACGGAGAATTCTTGTTTTTTGACCAGAATTATCTAGAATAATTTTTTTACCATTTTAAACCTAACCCCCCTCAAGTTATAACTTTCATACGGATATATAATCCGTCTATTGGTTGCACAGAAAATAGAAGAACAATTATTGTTTTTATCAGAAACAACAATAACTGATACGTGAATTTTGCCAAAAAACCAAAAAGTGAAATTGTCTGATCATTGGACTAAACCCTTCCAATTGTTATACACACTCCGCACCGTGCCGCTGTCGAAATGATCTATTATCGATGTGATGAACGCGAACACTATAACCGAGTCGAGAATTATTCTAAAGTAAAACGCCGAGTAAAAATAATACGTATAAAAACGATCGACAATAAAACGCACCTGGGACGGTAATTTTACACGCGTACGTAGTGCACATTATATTTTATATAGTATCGGAACAATGCAGTCGTAAACGTAATTATGCACAGTTCGTACGAAGAAATCATAATATTATATAGGTGTGCACATTTAAACCCGACTTCATAATATAATTGATTTTAATATTTATTAGAGAGGAAAAAAACATTTCTTTCGCAGTTTTATTGTTGTCGCACGGAAAAAATTAATTTAAAATATAATACGGATTGATGATTTTCGAAGAGAAAATACCTCGGGAAAATATAATATTTTAGACCACCTAAATATAGCATAATATAGTATTTGACGCCGATATCCCGGAAACTATTGCAGAATGTTCGATGGACAGCGTACACGATTTTCTAAAATCAAAAACGGTTGAAATGGGTGGATATATTATACGATATGACGTGCTAAGGGGAAGTCAATTAAACGAGAGGAAGTAAACGAAGCGAATTCTGACTAGCAAATTGAATAAAAATCTGCCAGTAGAAAGACCACGTCCACGTTTAATGGACGGAGTAATTTTTCTGAATAATTGTGGACGCAGGAATCCGGGAATGACGGAGATCTGTGCAGGTGAAAAATGCGAAAAGACTAAATTGCCAGTTTTCTCTGGATTTATGTCGATACGATTTTTTTCACCACGTAATCGATCGCGCATCAAACATTTGATCATTATAAGTTATTTTTGCTGATAAAAAAAAAAATGACCTACAATTGAGAACTATTACTTAGATGATTAAAAATTAGTAAAACGTTCAATTTAAATTCGACAAAATCACATATAATGTATTTTTAATACGATCTACTGCAATGATTTGCGTTCGGCAGTTTAAACTATAATAACGATTCTATGTATTCGTTACGTATATCCTTCCAACTTTCTATCCACAAGAAGTGCCTACCCTTGCCCCGGTTGCAATATCGGATCGTTTTGTAAATATGACGCGTACTGGGGTACTGAACCGTTCTCGGCCAACAATCTCTGGTCGCCGCGGGCGTTTTGCTAAACTGTTATAAAGTGTAATGATTTTACATTATTCGACAATAATATTATACTATTTTCGGTCAGATGCGATTCGTTATAAAACAGTAACGATTATTGCAAGCAGGGACGGATCCAGGGGCGCCTAGGGGTCCGGGCCTCCCGGACATATTATTTCTCCAATTTTTCTTTTCTATAATTTTAGAGATCCTGATATTACTATATATTCCGATCACAGATATGTATAATATAATATATTGTATTATTATAGTTGTATTTGTGTTGTAAAACAATTGTTGCCTACCTAAATCTTTGCTCTGGACCTATCACGCCTGATTGAAAATATACTTGTACACTTTTGAAGCGTTTGATGTACACACGGATGCGTTTTTATTTGAAATTGGATTCTAAACATCGTATTGCTATTAGGTACGTTGTTATTGTTTCAAATGGCATAGCATTAAATCGGTTGCAGTGCTATATAATGTAAATGTCATTTGAAATTAATTGACTGCGTATAATATTATTACTCGTACGATCGTGCACGTACATAAGTGTATAAATCACTGACGATTGTCAATCGGTATATTATCGTATTTAAACGGGTTTACGCGTGAAGAACGTCGACTTTCTAAAAAATAAAACGAAAATCACGCGGGTAATATTATAAAATGATTAAGATTTGTGGACGTCGAGTCATAATAATAATAATAATAATAATAATAATAATAAAAAAGTCAGAAATAGTTCGCACCATCACGGGTAGGCCACCCGTGTTGTCGGCGTGTGAAGTTTAGAAGGCACCTAACCTAAGCATATAGGGTAATTTAGTTTATGTACTGAAAGCAACGATACATTATTACAATCGGGATTTGGTAATATATTATTGGTATTATACATATTTATTTTCAAATTTTTGATTATTCCGTGCTTCCTTGTGGCCAATATAGGTAATCCAGAAATCAACGAAAACCGCACCGAATTTACCGCCGGGAACCGACCCTCGAGTCGACGGTCGGAGAAAAAAGTCCGGTGGAAAAGGTGTTCGCAGAGACACACACACACACACACAAAAAAAAAAAAAAAAAAAAACAATTAATTAAAAAAATCGCGCGCCACAGTAATACCTCGCTGAGCTCAGAAAGTGCAAAAAAAAAAACAAAACAAAACAAAACAATACGGACAATCGCCGGGGCGCGTGACCCGGGAGTCCGAAAACAATTACGATTCTCGTACGAACTACGATTATAATTCGGCAGAGTTTAAAACCAGGTGATAATATCCGTGACGTCACGCGCGTACGTGTCTCTGGAGCCGGTGGCCGCCGCGACATTATTTTTCGTAACGGGACCCGCGTGATTACCGCGATAACAGTATTGTGGACGCGACTTATGAGACGGCGATCGTATACGAGTAATTATCGTTAAAAAAAAAAAAAAAAAACAACTCGCATGCACACAAAAAAAACCCGCGAGTCCCGAACGCCCGGAGGTCCGGTAATGACAATAACGATGAGACGTTAGCCGTTAAAGGCGCGCGGGTACTGAGGGGTGGCGGGGAAATACACGGGCGTTTATCGATGTTGTAACACGCGCACGCACGCCGTACGGTCTGTCGTTACAGCGTCTCCGACGGCTTCCGACGCAAAACCATTTGTCCGCGGCGTTTTCGTATTGTTTTTTTTTTTTTTTTTTTTTTTTTTTTACCCTTCAATAATAATAATAATAATAATAATATCCGTATTAACGTAAATTATCGAGCGCCGCCGACGCCAACGCCGCCGTTGTCG